AAAATGTTGCTGAGGACTCAGGATAAAGTACATGGACCTTTTCCTTTAATATCTCACTAGGTGACCTCATATCCAAAGAAACCAAACAGGAAAGAATTTTAGTTGCATCTGCGATGTGTGGGATCCTCCCCTTCCATCCATGGATTCCTTTCCTGAAGTATCCCGCAGTGTGCTGACTCCTTACTCGTGAAGGCTGTTTCACAAAAGGCTCCTTTTCCTTCAAGGAAAGATTTCTGGTGGGCATGTCCCCTTCCTCAGGAATCCCCAACATTTCTGGGGAGGCAGGAGGCATGAGTCCTCATTTGCATGAGGCAATTCCAGTTCTTGCTGGAGTGCCTGTTAAAAATCTTCATAAAGACACGTTTAGACGTAGACATGATTTGACTTGGAATGTTCAAGTGTATAAATGAAGGTAGGTTTCGGCCCAGAGGCCCTCATGAGACAAATATTTCCACCTCACCAGAACTTTCTCAGTTTTAGATCTGAACATGATTGTTCTGGCCAGGACCTAGCCCCAGCGCCTCAGGAGGAAGAGTCACTGTGATGTCAGCGAGAGTGGGCCTGCAGCGCCCAGAGTCGCCGTAATTGTTCTGCGTGTGTGCCAGTGTCCTGTCCGACACTCGCGTTTCTAACAATTCATCTCTTTCCCTTGTCTCACTGCTGGAGCTGGATCATTTTACCTCATTCTCTGCCCAGTGCTGAAATTCACATCACATGTGCCATTGTCCTCAGGCATTTGGACTGGAAATGAATGAAAATGCCCACTGTCCAGGTTCCCTAGCTTGCACATGGCAGCTGATGGGTTTTCCCACCTCATATCCTCAGATGGGATCTGGTGAGAGCCAATTCCTGAAGAGAAGTTAATCTCCTCATATTCCACCAGTAATTATTTTTTCAAACCTTGTGCTGCCCTCTTCTTATTTCCCCAGTCAACAAGCAGTACCGTCACTGAACTCCCACAGGCTGGGTTGGTGTCACACATCATGGCCATCAGTGTCCGGGTCACAGCACAATGAGGATGGGCCGATGCTCCTGGACACAGAATAGCATGCTGGGTCCTTGTCTTCTGTCCCTGGGAAAGGAGGGATTAGCTATTTCTCTGCTCTGCTGGGATCCCCTCCTCTCCTTGTCTCTCAGATGCAGGCAGGGTAAATCCTATACCTTCTTGGCATCAGGAATCTTGTGCTCCAGCAAAGGATTCTTGAGGGAACATCAAACTCTGATTGCCTTCTCTGCTGTAAAGTGGGGTGAAAGGAGTGAGGGGTGTTGGGAGAGAGAGAGGTTAGGACAGAGGGCAGATTGAAAAGGGAGAGAGTGAGAGACAAAGAGGGAGAAAGAGAAGTAAAAAAAATGTGACATTTGCAGGGTTGGGAGCGGAAGACTCAGGTGGAAACTACATGAAAGCTTATTTCAATTTAAATGTACTCACCTCAGAAACAAAGGTGACAACTGTCTCTAACATCCCTGAATGTGGTTTGGAGTCTTTGAAGTGGCTCAGCTCCCCAACCTGAGCTTGCCCCTTGATTCGCTCAACAATTAAACATTAGAGAGTGGAATATTAGGGTCCACTACCGAGTCTTCAACAGATCAGACAAACAATGTTGGAGAAAAATGAGAATTTCATCGGGAGCAAAAGCTTGCACAAAGTCACTGTGGTAGAGAAAATATGGACGATATAAGGAACAGAGCGGCTGGGGAATGCTCTACTGAGGCAGTGAGGAAGTAGAGTGGGCAGTTGTGGCTGCAGAGAGACCACATCATGCCTGAAAAGTCTAAATACGGAGACCTCGCCGGTGGTGCAGTGGGTTGAACGCTATACTCTGAAGCTGTGAAGCTGCGAAGCTCTGAAGCTGTGAAGCTCTGAAGCTGTCCGTAGCCTCTTTAGCGTGGTTTCGATTTCCGGCAGGCCAGGGAGAAACCCACATGGAGCAGCAGACCTCTCCTGTCTCGCCCACTGCTCCTCTCAGCAGTGTCTTCGTTCCAACTGCCTGCTCTGCTCCCCACTCTGTCTCTGGTGAATTCTCTCACCTTCCCACGCCTCTGACCTGTACCCCAGCTCTTATAAAAATAAATAAATCCTTAAAAAAAAAGTCCAGATAAGGAGTTTCAATTTCATTGATGAGCGGTCTTATTTTTATTATTTGTAGGATTTTCTTCCTTCTGTTTGCTTTGTGCTTGTCTTTGTCCTTTCCTTCCTATGTTTTTGATATGGAATTCAGCTATCAATTTCCCTGTCAAACTGAGTTTACAGAACCCATACTTTTTTTTTTAAGATATTTTTATTTATTTATACAAGCACTGGGTACAGTCAGAAGCGCGGGAGGGTGAGAGAATTCACCAGAGCCAGAGCGGGGAGCAGAGCAGGCAGAAGGACCGAAGTACACTGCTGAAGGGAGCAGCGGGCGGCAGGAGAGGTCTGCGCGCTGTGCGGGACCCTCCTCTGGTGGCCTGGTGAAGCCAGGGATTGAGTCCGCGCCACATAGGCTGTGGGGAGCTTAGCAACCCAGAGCTCAACTGCTGCACCACCAGGGAGGCCCTAAATGCACTTCATTTAATTCTTAAGTTGCATTTGTGTCCTAGATGTCATATCAAATGACCCAAACTGTCCTAAAAATAACAGAAATGTATTGTCTCCCAATTCTGCAGGTTAACAAGGCAAATATGAACCTAACTGTAGAGTTATACTCCCTCTGTTTAAAAGGGGGAAGGATCCTTGCTCCTTCCTAACCAGGTGACTGTGGGCAATTCCTACAAAGTCCTTGATTTAAAACACTCCCTGGTCAATCTCTGTCGTGGACTCCCGGTGGCATTATCTCTCCTGCTTGTTTGTGTTTCATCTTTTCTCCTTATTAGGACACTGGTGTTGTTAGGGGGAAGGTTGTCCTGAGCTAATTCCATGCAGGCTTTGTGGACTTCACCCCCACTCCAGACCAAAGCCATCAGGACATTGGGAAAGACAAATCCCATCACCACCAAAGGGAAGGTGGCTGGGACCTGAGGGTGGAGTTAAGCAGCCAGGTTTTCTATAAAACCAGACCCGTGGGCCTTGGGGTCTCTTTCTTGGCTTCAAGGCTCTTGGCTCACCGCCAGCTCTCAGAGTGCCATTTGGGATTCCATGTTGGCAGAACGGGGAGGACGCAGTGAGGACTTTATCTCCCTCTTTTCTCCCTGAGTTGTACATTTCCTCATTTCCCCTTCCCTTGTAAACAAACCTTTTATTCACCTTAGGTGTGTGCCTGCAGTTAAGTATTAGTAAGGCCCTTTTAAGTGTGCGGTGAGGACCCACAGTCAGACAACCCTCTTTGATATCAGGGTTGCCCTGTAACAGTTATAGTGGATTAGGGTCCACCCTAATGAAGTGTTACATCACCTTAATTTGATTACACATTTCCCAACAAGATCTCATTACCTGTTTGGCGGTTTGCCTATTTTGTTAGTGTTTTGAGATGCAATTGAACTAAAAACACTAGGAGTATAGAAAAATTCCAGATATTTTTTCCATTGACACTCAGATTAATTTCATAATGGTCTGAGAATATATTTTGTAAGATTGTAGTGGTTGCAAAAATAGAATTCATTTTATTATTGAAGATATTTCTTATTTTGATGACTATTCTTGTGAAACAGTAACAGCATGAGTTTTGCTGTGATTTTTAATGACATTTTATTAATGTCAATTTTGTTAACTTGGATCATGATATTGCTGAATACGTTCATGTCATATTAATTTCTGTATAATTGCGCTTCAATGACTGAGAGTAATGAAATGAAATAATGAAATCTCATTATGGATTTGTAGATTTTGCCATGTCTCATTTCAGCGTATCAGTTTTATCTTCATATGACAAGAAGTTGTGTTCTTAGGTGTGATGATTTGAAACTTGATAGCTATCTAATATGCTTGATATAATATCTTGATAGCTATACTTTCTATTAATCTGGTAATTTTCCAACCAGTTTGGTTGATTTTTAAAGTATGATTGTTTACATTATAACTTTTTTTTTTTTACCAGTTTTCTAGTATACTTTGCCCTTTCCATAGATATTTCCTGTGTGCTTCTTTTTCAGGTGGGCTAATTGCAGAAAACAAACTTTCCTTTGTACTTTTTGTTTACTTGTTTGTTTCAAAAGCTAGTGGAAAAGAGAGAATGACTTGGAGCGCTCTAGCAAGTAGAGTCTGTTACAACTGCAGGGAAGGGCCAGGAGCTGAGAGGACAGGGCAGGAATTTCCAGCTCCCAGGCTCTGCATCCATGGGTCTTGGGCTGCACCATCTGCGGCCACCATCGGGCAGCAAGGGCCTGTGTGGACGAACCTTCATTGCTGTGATTTATCCAGAACTGCATGAAGTCACAGGAACTCTTTACCTCTGAGCTTTTCCTAGGAAGAAGCAGTCTCAGATGTCCCAAATCTGCTGAGTTATTTTGAGCTCAGACCATGGAATGCAACAAGAAAAGGGTGAAACTAATTGCTGGTTGGCTATAACTTCAAATGCAGGTCTCTCTCCCTAGAACTTTCTATGATTCCCTTTACAAGGGACTCAAATAACTGCTCCCTGCATGCTCTATGCTTTTAGCTGCATTCAGAGGAGAAATGGTGTTGCATGCTGTTTACATTCCACATGAACCAAACCTTATAATTGTACTTTTTTTTTGAAATTTGCATCAGATTTAATCCCAGGGAATAAAAAAAAAAGAGCAAATTAAACAATAGTCTTAGAAATTTTAAGAGAGAGGGAGAGAGAGTATCACAAAGGTGTTGTGACGTCTTGTTCAGGTTTGGGGAGGTTGGTTTATCTTGCCTGTGGAAGCGAAATGGAAGAAAAGGCAAGAAAGTTCAAATGATCTCATCTGTGACCTGACCCTTGAATCTAAGAAGCAGGAAGCAGATTTGCATAGAGACCCTCTTCCTCCTCTTAGGCAGGGCTGGGGATAAGAGACATCTGGGGGAGCCAGGCCCAGGTTGGGGCATCAGAAGACAGAGACCTTGGCTTGTCTCCACCATGGCCTGGACTGTGCTTCTCCTCACCCTCCTCACTCAGGCCACAGGTGAGACCTCCAGGGAAGGGACACTGAACACATCACAGCTGACCCTTATCTCTGCTCAGCTCACCTGGGCTCAGGCTGAACTCACTTGTGTATGTTTTTCCTCTTTTCAGGTTCCTGGGCCCAGTCTGCTCTGACTCAGCCTTCCTCAGTGTCTGGGGCTCTGGGACAGTCAGTCACCATCTCCTGTGCTGGGACCAGCAATGACATTGGGCAGTATAACGATGTATCCTGGTACCAGCAGCTCCCTGGCAAGACACCCAAGCTCCTGATTTATGTTGTCAGTTACCGGCCCTCAGGGATCCCTGATCGCTTCTCTGGCTCCAAGTCAGGCAACACGGCCACTTTGACCATCTCTGGTCTCAAGCCTGAGGATGAGGCTGAGTATTACTGTAGCTCATTCAGGAGTGGTTATACTTACCACAGTGGTGTAAGTTCACGGGGAAGTGAGACAAGAACCTGCCCTGTGCTCCCAGCGTCCCTGTTGCACAGAAGAGGCTTCCCCCACCCTGTGCAGATGGGGCTTCATGCACGTGGCCTTGACAATTCAGTTCACTCTTAGCTCCTCTCTTCTCCTTAGTGCAATCCACAATGATGCTGTCTTATTTTCAGGGTGCAATGATTTTTTTTCTCTACATTTATGATTGATCCTAGAATGTCCTCCACTTTCCATTTCTTTAGTGACAGGAGTTCATGGCATAGAGCTCAGGCTGTTCTCCTCCGTGGAGTCGGTTCTCTGCTGCTGGAGACTCTGGAACATGTCCCTTGTCCCAGCCACGTGTTAGTGTGGTGCTGCTGTCGGTCTTTTGTGACAACAGGATGTGAGTTTTTGTAGACAAAGAATATCATTTTCTGCAACCCTGTTTCTGTAACTACACATGACTGTTCTAGAATGTCTGGGAATCTGTCCAAGTATCTTTATTTTTCAGAGAGCTTGGAGAGTGCAAATCCTCTCATGTGTCTCTGCCTTGAAAAGGTTCCAGTTTTTCTTAAAGGTGACTAGTATGGTTCTTAACAGTGAGCAGTGGGAAGAAAATTATAGCTAGAGCATGAGTGAGTGGGATCCTCCACAGTCTTTGTTCCTGTTGACTGTGGAGCCTTCAGCTTGGCACAGGGAGGTGCAGGTCCCGTATTGGCAGCGAGATTAACATATGACACTTCAGGGTGGAACATCTGTGGGTTGAGATGGGACTTCCTTTTTTAATTTTTAAAATATTTTTATTAATTTATGCATACAAGGACTGGAGTGTAGGCCAGAGGTGCGGGGGTGGGCGGTTGAGAGGATTCGCTAGAGAAAGTATAGGGAGCATAACAGGTGGATCTACTGAAATACACTGATGAAGTGAGTAGAGGGGGAGACAAGCAGAGGTCTGCTGTGCTGTGGGTTAGTATGGGAGTGGCTGGCAATAGCTTGACAGCACTGAGACTTTAACCCCTGAGCCACCAGGGAGGGCCAGGATTGGACTTCTTCAGGCCAAAAGCAGCTAACACTTACCATGTTTCATTCTTGCTAAAAATTTGTGTTTTTCTCTATTTCCCATTCATTGGTATATTACATATAATTATAACAGGAATATACTGCAGTATAACTTGTTGGGTGCATCAGCACATCAAATGTCCCATGTGACAGACAGACTTGAAATGAGGGTTCCTAGGGCTGGTGTAGTTAGGACAGCCCCCCTCACTCCAGCCCCTCCCTCTACATCCTCCAAACCTGGAGTTCACCTCCTGCTCCCCATTGGGTCATTTAAATCTGAGCGAGCTCCCTCTTATTTGGCAGTATATATTCTTTTACCATTTAAGGATTCAATCTTCCTAGGTCTCCTCTTCATAACTTTATTTATTTATTTTTTTTAATGGAACATTCCAACTTCATTTTATTTCCCATCCATTGTTTCTTCATTACTGACTTGAGAAACCCTCAGGGCCACACACTCGGGAAGAAACACCTACTGGGACAGGTAGAATGATCATGAAGTTGTATCGAAACCCCCAGTATGGCAGGACACATTTCAATCAGGAAAAGATAAAGGGAAAAGGGATTCGATGGAAACAGGAACTGGAAAGCAAAAAGTGATGAAAGAAGAAAGAATAAAACAGATTTCAACTCCACTAGTCTGTCTTCCCTGGTGATTGTGTTATACCCCCTGGTTACTGGGGGAAGCAAAGGCCTAGATTTGGGGACATTATTGGTTTTGTCAATGGGCCTGATTCAGTTTTGGAGCTGCTTCTCTCAGAGCACCCTTGCATTATTCAGAAATAGGGTCACAATTCTTCTGTACCCCAACGGTTCTTTCTTTATGATAAATGAACCAGGTCTCAGTCTCTGGACAGTGTCTGTCACTGCTCCTGCTTAGGACACAGAGGCTTTTGAGAAGAATGAGGGAAAGCTGAAGAGAAATGAAAAGTAGCCACCTTTGGGTTTCATCATCGGAAAACGAGTGATTGGAGCTCCTTAGACAGCCTTGAACCCTGTCTTTTCCACACTCCTCAGAACAAGGAATAGTCCCAGATCCTCAGTCAGGAGCCGCCATGAGTCTGTGGTGGAAGGACAGGGACAGCCCCAGGGGCTTTAACACTGCCACAGGCTCAGTCTGTCCTGACTCAGTAGTACAGCTCAGAGGGACAGCATGTCAGTTGAGCTCTGCCATTCTCGGATGCAGAAGAACTAGCGTATAGGAACAAGTTAGAGTGGGATGAGCAGAAACAGGTACAGGAAGCAATTTGTGTGAAGGCCCTCCCCTCTGAGACAGGGGTAGGTGATAGGAAAGTTTGGGGAAGTCAGGCCCATCTCCTGGGTTATATCCATCATGATCTGTGCTCCTCTCTCCACTCCCTCTTCACTCAGGGGACAAGCGAGGCCCCCAGGAAGTGACCCAGGGCATGAGTGCTGACAATTTCTCTTCCACCCCAGGATCAACTGGTCCCAGAACTGAGCATCCCTGAGTTTGTTTCCCTCTTTCCAGCTTCCCGGTCCCAGTCGCTCCTGTTGGAATCCCTTGGGCAGTGTCCATGCTCTGGAACACTCAGTGACCATTTCCCTTGTTGGAAGTGACATGGGGTATCACACCAGTGGTGTATCGGGGCCTGGGTTGAGCCCAGTCTCCTTATCTCTGCTGTCGGGACTCTTCCCCCAGGGATCCCTGATCACTTCTCTGGTAATGATCATCCCTGACCCTCAGTGGCTCCACCTGAGGAAGAGACTGATCATCACTGTCCCTCATTTAGAAGCCTGGCACTTCCACAGTGTGCAAGTTCGGGGGAAGTGAGGCCAGAATCTTCCCTTGCTCACAGGCTCCCTGAAGATACTTCAGAGCCTGTGCAGAGGGGACATCACACAAATGTCTTGAGAACATGGTTCCCAAAGCAGGTCCATCATTCTCCCCTAACACCCCAAAGCAAAACATCCTCTGTTCTATTGCTTTGCAGTAAAAGAGCTTTTCTTGTTCTCTGTGTCCAAGTTACAGAATATGTAACTTTCCCAACTCAACTACACTAGAACGGACAGGGAGACAAGTTGGGGCCATTTTCCTCAGTTTTCAAGTATATCCTCACTTTACATGTTCTAGTCTCCTGTGCCTGTGCAGCCCAGCCTGGACTCAGTTGTCCAGAACAATGTCTCCTTCACTCAAGTCTGCCCTGCTGAGTCAGTGCGGCCTTTCTTGGTGCTTACTCTTCTGCACATTGCTGCTAAGAGAAGAGATGCTGAGGAAGGTGAAATTGTTGCTGAGATCTGAGGATTAACTACATGGACATTTTATGTTAATATCCCTCAAGGTGACCCCATATCCAGAGATACTGAACAGGAAAGAATTTTAGTTGCATCTGCGGTGTGTGGAATCTTCCCTTTCCATCCTGTATTCCTTTCCCACTAGGAAGGGCTGTTTCCCAAAAGGATCCCTTTTTCTCCAAGGGATGAGATAGCTGGTGGACATGCCCCCCTTCCTCAGGAGTCCCCAACATTTTTGTTACTCATCATGAGCCAATTCCACTTCTTGCTGGAGCACCTGTTACAATTTATCATAATGACACGTTCACATGTAGACATGCAGTTTGACCAAGAAGAGTCAAACATCTGAATGAAGGTAGGTTTCAGCCCCAGAGGCACCAGGCCATGACCAACTCTTTCCATTCCACCAGAACTTTCCCAGTTTTATATCTGAACATAATGTGATCTGGCCCGGAACCATCCCCAGTGCCTCAGGAGGAATGGTCACTGTGATGTCAGCTAGAGTGGGCCTGCAGTGTCCGGACTCACCATGATTGTTCTGCGTCTGTGCCAGTGTCCTGCCCGAGACTCGCGTTTGTACCAGTGGACTCAGTAAAGTCAACTGCATGGATGGCATCCGGCCTGGGAGGGTCTGACTTAGACAAGGCAGGGGAAGGAGAAATTCATTGTTTCTCCTTGTCTCACTGCAGTAGCTGGATCATTTCACCTCATTCTTGCCCAGTGCTGAAATTCACATCACATGTCCCCTGATTCTCAGGAACTTGGACTGGAAATTAATGAAAACGCCCTCTGTCCAGGCTCCCTAGCTTGCAGATGGCAGATGATGGGATTTCCTAACTCAGGAAACAAGGATCTGGTGGGAGCCATTTCCTGATGAGGAGTCAATCTCCTCATAATTTAACATTAATTATTTTTTCAAATCTTTTACTAGTCACCTTCTTAATTTCCCAAGTCAACTGCCATTACCTTCTCACTGTGTCCCCCAGCTGGTCAGTGTCACACATCAGTGGCTCATCAATAGCCGCATCATAGCACATGGGGATGGGCCGCGGCTCCTGGACACAGAATAACAACTTGGGCCCTGCCCCTTGTTTTTGTGAGGCTGGCAGCAGCTGCCCCTGCTTGTAGGGTGGATGTCTATATGTAAATTAACCAGGTGACCAAGGGGCTTCTGTCTGGTTGTCCCTGTACATTTTACATAAGGCTGCTTGACTGTACGGCCATCAGTGGGACCTTTACAAAGTATCTACATGTGTCACCTGAGACATGAGACAGATGTCACATTGTCTGCACTGGGAGCAACAGCCACACAAGATTTATAATCCTACCTCCTGGTCCCACAATGTCAGCACAAGAATGTGGGATGTGATTTTCTGATGGTGTTGTCAGTTCTGTGCCCTCAGGAGTCCCAGCTCAAGTCCCAGGGTCCAGGTATGCAGCAGGACCTCTTTGACCACCTCTGGACTTGCTTGAGATAAAGACTGATGAACACTGTCCTGGGACAGCCAGAGCATTTACCCATAGCACTCCACATTCACGGGACACTGGGGCCACAGCCTGAGATTTTCTCTCAGCACTGGGCTATGTACTCGCAGTGAGTCACTGTGGTTTCTACTGTCCTTTCTGCTCCTGTGCTGAGAGGGAGTCTCATATCACATAATGTCATCTTAGGAAACCACCCTGTCACCTGGGCCATTTAATGTCACCTAATCATGGGGGAGAGGTTTGCTCACCTTTGCCATATTTGTTGGTTAGAAACAAATTACACCTGGTTCTCAAATTGAAGGCCATATTTTGAAGGGTCACCATGGGGTGGTCCTACACAGTCTATTAAAAACAGATTTTTAATCCATAGTTGAAAGCTCTTGTGAAAAGCCCTGCAAATGTTGCTGAGGGAACAGCAAGAAACAGAAGTAAGTCCTACCTTTCAGTGTCCACCCTCTTGTACCACTTGGTTAGCTGATGCTTATCTGAACCCAAAGAGCATTTATGTGATATTATGTGACCAGCCATGGTTTTGCCATACTCGCTTTCCTCTCCTGACTCTGTACTGAAATCACATCCTACACCCTCATGCTCTTCTGTGTTCAAGAAGCTGCACTCCAATGGTGTGTTTACTCATCATCTAGGGAGCTCTGTGAGGGCTGTTTTCTTCAGACACTTAGGCCAAGGCAACATATTGCAACTGACTGAATGATGACACTGACGTGTAAGCCTGGTTGGGGGACTGCAATGTCTGCAGGCTACCATCAAGATGCTTGGCTTGCAGTAGGTTCTAAGAGCTTTTCTCCTTAGTCACTCCAATGGGGAAAGCTGTCAAGCCCATTGTCTCCACTCAGTGTCTTCTCTGCATGTATATAAGCACCCCAGGCTCATCTCAGGCCAAAGCAGAGACTAGAACAGATTGTGGGGGCCCACCCTAAGGGGAGATTGAGAGGTCCCATCCCTGTCTTCTGTCCCTGGGAATGGAGGGATTAGCTTTTCTCTGCTAGATTGGGATCCCCTCCTCTCCTTGTCATTGAGATGCAGGGAGGGTAACTCCTCTGTCTTCTTGGCATCAGGAATCTTTTTCCAGGAAGGGATACTTGGGGGAAGATCAGACTCTGTTCCCCTCCTCTGCTCTAAAGTGGGGTGAGTGGAGTGAGGGGTGTTGGTAGAGAAAATGAAGGATGGAGTGAAGATTGAGAGAGAGAGAGAGAGAGAGAGAGAAATAACACAAATATGACATTTACAGGTGGGGTGGGAGAAGACTCAGGGAGAAACTGCATGAAAGCTTATTTTGATTTTACTGTACTCCTTTCAGAAACTGAATCAGGGTGGTCCTGCCTTGTTACCCTATCTGTTACAGGACAGGGAGAGGGCACTGCAGAAACCCAAATCTGCCTGGTCTAAATAGGTCCCGACATCTACAGATAAATAAAACATACAAAAATCTTTGATGAAAAGGAACTTTAATACACTTAGTGTGAAATACAGAAAAGACAAAGATAGTTTCCAAATCAACCACCTGAAGTTATCTATTCCCTTGTGGGTAAAAGTTCTGCCAAACAAGGTTGGACCATGCAAGACCAAAAGCCTGCCACAAGTCTAAAGCATCTCCCAGCGGAATCCATAGAAAAGGGTCAGAAACAGCCAGACAAGTCTGGGAGCAAAAAAGCAAAATCAAAATCAAGATAAACACTGCTATTTTTAACCTCCACATGGAACTGTCACCCACATCTGTTTCAACCAGTCCAGGTCCATGAAGCAAGTGCAGCTTCTTCACGTGCCTCTCTGTGCCATGTGCCTCCTCCAGGTCTCCTTCTGATTCTCTATCCTTTTTCCTTCCTTCTTCAGTCTGTTCTCCAGCTTCTTCTTCTCCCAGTTTAGCTCCATCATCCCTTGCATGGGCTAGGGATCCCGGGACTCCCCTTTTTTGGGGACCACCCTGTTATAAAACCAATGTGAAAATTACTCTTTAACATCACTGAATGTTGTTTGGAGTCTTTGGGACAAATGCCATAGCTCAGCTTTCCAACCTGAGCTTGCCCTTTGATTCCCTTAACAAGCAAACATTGCTGCGTGCAATATTAGGGTATATACTGAGTATCAACAGACCATACATACAATGGAGGAAAACCAGAATTTCATCGAGCGCATGTGCAAAGGCACTGTGGTAGAGAACATATGGATGATTTAAGGAACAGAGTGACTTGGGAATGCTCTACCTGGGCAGTGAGGAAGTAGAGTGGGGATTGTGGGCCACAGACAGATCACATGATGACTGAAAAGTCCAGATAAGGAGATTAGATGAATGAAAATTAGTTCCTTAAATGTAAAGAGAATTTATTTGAGGATGTTCCATCGGTATTTGATGCTTTAAAAACTCTCTGAATATTTTTTGGTGAACAAGCTGTTTGAAAGAAACAGATGCACATTGAGTGGTTAGGTGGTGTGCTTCTTGTCTGGGGACAACATCAAGGGTCTTGCACTGATAGAAGCTGTGGAGTAGTGCCGCAGACCAGCCTAGTCATTCAGAATCTGAGAGCGGACAGTAGGAGGTTAAGGACAGGCAGATGCATTAGTGAAAGCTGGGACCAGGTGGGCTGTGGCAAAGCAGACAGAAACTTCAATCCTAGTGCAGTGCATTTATTTATACAATCTTGAGCACAGAGGAGGGGAGGACAAAGTTGAGGCATTCCTAACAGCATCTTGGAGGTATCAGGAAGTGCCAACAATTGCAACACTATCAAGAAGCTGCAAGCCTGTGCTGAGTGCAATGTTCCAGCTTGATGGACACAGTGGGGAGAAATCCTTTTTCTATGCCTCATGACTGAGCAACTGTTGCTGTCTCAGATCATTTGGGGTGGTGGTGGTGTGGCTCAGGACTGTTGCCCCAAGAACACATGCCCTTGTACCCAACAGAGAAGGAAGAGATGGTTTCATGATTGAGTTGACTGCTTATGCATTGGACTAGCTGTGGGAGACAGAGAAAGAATAAAGATAATGCCCATTTTCACTTGGGCATTAATATGGTTGGAACTGTCATTGAAATGGAGT